TAAGCGTTTTTAGTTTTCTTAGGTTTTTGACTAAAATATCGATTTTTAAAGGAAGATATAAGTGATCACAAAATGAGGTCCTTTTTCAATTTAAACGTGTTTTAACGAAGTTATAAACGATTTTAGTTTTCTTAGGTTTTAGACCAGAAGATCGATTTTTAAAAGAAGATGTAAGGGATCACAAAATGAGGTCCTTTTTCAATTTAAACGTGCCTTAACAAAGTTATAAGCGATTTTAGTTTTCTTAGGTTTTAGACCAGAAGATCGATTTTTAAAGGAAGATATAAGTGATCACCAAATGAGGTCCTTTTTCAATTTAAACGTGTTTTAACGAAGTTATAAACGATTTTAGTTTTCTTATGTTTATGACCAAAAGATCGATTTTTAAAGCAAGATATAAGTGATCACAAAATGAGGTCCTTTTTCAATTTAAACGTGTTTTAACGAAGTTATAAGCGATTGTAGTTTTCTTAGGTTTTTGACCAAAACATCGATTTTTAAAGGAAGATATAAGTGATCACAAAATGAGGTCCTTTTTCAATTTAAACGTGTTTTAACGAAGTTATAAGCGATTGTAGTTTTCTAAGGTTTTTGACCAAAAAATCGATTTTTAAAGGAAAATATAAGTGATCACAAAATGAGGTCCTTTTTAAATTTAAACGTGTTTTAACGAAGTTATAAGCGATTTTAGTTTTCTTAGGTTTTTGACCAAAAAATCGATTTTTAAAGGAAAATATAAGTGATCACAAAATGAGGTCCTTTTTCAATTTAAACGTGTTTTAACGAAGTTATAAGCGATTTTAGTTTTCTTAGGTTTCTGACCAAAACATCGATTTTTAAAGGAAGATATTAGTGATCACAAAATGAGGTCCTTTTTCAATTTAAACATGTTTTAACGAAGTTATAAGCGATTTTAGTTTTCTTAGGTTGTTGACAAGAAGATCGATTTTTAAAGGAAAATATAAGTGATCACAAATTGAGGTCCTTTTTCAATTTAAACGTGTTTTAACGAAGTTATAAGCGATTTTAGTTTTCTTAGGTTGTTGACCAAAAAATCGATTTATAAAGGATAATATAAGTGATCACAAAATGATTTCGTTTTTCAATTTAAACGTGTTTTAACGTAGTTATAAGCGAATTTAATTTTCTTAGGTTGTTGACCAGAAGATCGCTTTTTAAAGGAAGATATAAGCGATCACAAAATGAGGTCCTTTTTCAATTTAAACGTGTTTTAAAGAAATTGTAAGCGGAAGATATAAGTGATCACAAAATGAGGTCCTTTTTCAATTTAAACGTGTTTTAACGAAGTTATAAGCGATTTTAGTTTTCTAAGGTTTTTGACCAAAACATCGATTTTTAAAGGAAAATATAAGTGATCACAAAATGAGGTCCTTTTTCAATTTAAATGTGTTTTAACGAAGTTATAAGCGATTTTATTTTTCTAAGGTTTATGACCAAAAATTAGATTTATGATGGAATATATAAGAGATCACAAAATGAGGTCCTTTTTCAATTTAAACGTGTTTTAACGAAGTTATAAGCGATTTTAGTTTTCTTAGGTTTTCGACTAAAATATCAATTTTTAAAGGAAGATATAAGTGATCACAAAATGAGGCCCTTTTTCAATTTAAACGTGTTTTAACGAAGTTATAAGCGATTTTAGTTTTCTTAGGTTTTAGACCAGAAGATCGATTTTTAAAAGAAGATGTAAGTGATCACAAAATGAGGTCCTTTTTCAATTTAAACGAGCCTTAACAAAGTTATAAGCGATTTTAATTTTCTTAGGTTTTTGACCAAAAGATCGATTTTTAAAGGAAAATATAAGTGATCACAAAATTAAGTCCTTTTCCAATTTAAACGTGTTTTAACGAAGTTATAAGCGATTTAATTTTCTTAGGTTTTTGACCAAAACATCGATTTTTAAAGGAAGATATTAGTGATCACAAAAAGAGGTCCTTTTTCAATTTAAACATGTTTTAACGAAGTTATAAGCGATTTTAGTTTTCTTAGGTTGTTGACAAGAAGATTGATTTTTAAAGGAAAATATAAGTGATCACAAATTGAGGTCCTTTTTCAATTTAAACGTGTTTTAACGAAGTTATAAGCGATTTTAGTTTTCTTAGGTTGTTGACCAAAAAATCGATTTATAAAGGATAATATAAGTGATCACAAAATGATTTCGTTTTTCAATTTAAACGTGCTTTAACGAAGTTAGAAGCGAATTTAATTTTCTTAGGTTGTTGACCAGAAGATCGCTTTTTAAAGGAAGATATAAGCGATCACAAAATGAGGTCCTTTTTCAATTTAAACGTGTTTTAATGAAATTATAAGCGGAAGATATAAGTGATCACAAAATGAGGTCCTTTTTCAATTTAAACCTGTTTTAAAGAAGTTATAAGCGATTTTAGTTTTCTTAGGTTGTTGACCGGAAGATCGATTTTAAAAGGAAGATATAAGTGATCACAAAATGAGGTCCTTTTTCAATTTAAACGTGTTTTAACGAAGTTATAAGCGATTTTAGTTTTCTTAGGTTTTTGACCAAATGATCGATTTTTTATTAAAAACTTAAGTGATCACAAAATTAGGTCCTTTTTCAATTTAAACGTGTTTTAACAAAGTTATAAATGATTTTAGTTTTCTTAGGTTTTGATGAAAAACTTAAGTGATCACAAAATTAGGCGTTTTTTCAATTTAAACGTGTTTTAACGAAGTTATAAGCGATTTTAGGTTTCTTAGTATTTTGACCAAAAAAACGAAATTTTAAGAAAAATATAGATGACCACAATATAAGCTCATTTTTCAATTTAAATCTTTTTCTACGAAGTTATAAATGATTTTAGATATCTTAAGTTTTTGAACCAAAATCTACGGTACCATAGGAACCGAAAATAACTGGGAGAAAGGGAGGATATCGTTGAGATTATCACTACAAATAGCATGATCAAGTTTTCAATCGACAGTTTGTTCCATATAAAGGCTCAGTTGACTTCTCCGTTCTGTGATTTGTGTTTTTCATACAAAAACCTAACGGCAACCTCACGGCCACTGGCTTAAAACTGTCTTTCATTAGATTTGTTTAAAATTATCGTGATTGGAATTACATTTTATAAGAACTATGTTCATTTTGATTACAAACTATTTAAAACAGTTCTTTTTATTATAATTTTTTTTTAAATTATCGAGATTTGAAAAAAAATTCATAATTAATACTTTATTTCTACATTGATTGCAAACTATTTCTTGCAAATATTTATCTGAATTAAAATAGTTCTAGTTCAGTTCTAGTTCAGTTCTAGTTCAGTTCTAGTTCAGTTCTAGTTCAGTTCTAGTTCAGTTCTAGTTCAGTTCTAGTTCAGTTCTAGTTCAGTTCTAGTTCAGTTCTAGTTCAGTTCTAGTTCAGTTCTAGTTCAGTTCTAGTTCAGTTCTAGTTCAGTTCTAGTTCAGTTCTAGTTCAGTTCTAGTTCAGTTCTAGTCAGTTCTAGTTCAGTTCTAGTTCAGTTCTAGTTCAGTTCTAGTTCAGTTCTAGTTCAGTTCTAGTTCAGTTCTAGTTCAGTTCTAGTTCAGTTCTAGTTCAGTTCTAGTTCAGTTCTAGTTCAGTTCTAGTTCAGTTCTAGTTCAGTTCTAGTTCAGTTCTAGTTCAGTTCTAGTTCAGTTCTAGTTCAGTTCTAGTTCAGTTCTAGTTCAGTTCTAGTTCAGTTCTAGTTCAGTTCTAGTTCAGTTCTAGTTCAGTTCTAGTTCAGTTCTAGTTCAGTTCTAGTTCAGTTCTAGTTCAGTTCTAGTTCAGTTCTAGTTCAGTTCTAGTTCAGTTCTAGTTCAGTTCTAGTTCAGTTCTAGTTCAGTTCTAGTTCAGTTCTAGTTCAGTTCTAGTTCAGTTCTAGTTCAGTTCTAGTTCAGTTCTAGTTCAGTTCAGTTCTAGTTCAGTTCTAGTTCAGTTCTAGTTCAGTTCTAGTTCAGTTCTAGTTCAGTTCTAGTTCAGTTCTAGTTCAGTTCTAGTTCTAGTTCAGTTCTAGTTCAGTTCTAGTTCAGTTCTTTTTCAGTTCTAGTTCAGTTCTAGTTCAGTTCTAGTTCAGTTCTAGTTTAGTTCTAGTTCAGTTCTAGTTCAGTTTTCAGTTCTAGTTCAGTTCTAGTTCAGTTCTAGTTCAGTTCTAGTTCATTCTAGTTCAGTTCTAGTTCAGTTCAGTTCTAGTTCAGTTCTAGTTCAGTTCTAGTTCAGTTCTAGTTCAGTTCTAGTTCAGTTCTAGTTCAGTTCTAGTTCAGTTCTAGTTCAGTTCTAGTTCAGTTCTAGTTCAGTTCTAGTTCAGTTCTAGTTCAGTTCTAGTTCAGTTCTAGTTCAGTTCTAGTTCAGTTCTAGTTCAGTTCTAGTTCAGTTCTAGTTCAGTTCTAGTTCAGTTCTAGTTCAGTTCTAGTTCAGTTCTAGTTCAGTTCTAGTTCAGTTCTAGTTCAGTTCTAGTTCAGTTCTAGTTCAGTTCTAGTTCAGTTCTAGTTCAGTTCTAGTTCAGTTCTAGTTCAGTTCTAGTTCAGTTCTAGTTCAGTTCTAGTTCAGTTCTAGTTCAGTTCTAGTTCAGTTCTAGTTCAGTTCTAGTTCAGTTCTAGTTCAGTTCTAGTTCAGTTCTAGTTCAGTTCTAGTTCAGTTCTAGTTCAGTTCTAGTTCAGTTCTAGTTCAGTTCTAGTTCAGTTCTAGTTCAGTTCTAGTTCAGTTCTAGTTCAGTTCTAGTTCAGTTCTAGTTCAGTTCTAGTTCAGTTCTAGTTCAGTTCTAGTTCAGTTCTAGTTCAGTTCTAGTTCAGTTCTAGTTCAGTTCTAGTTCAGTTCTAGTTCAGTTCTAGTTCAGTTCTAGTTCAGTTCTAGTTCAGTTCTAGTTCAGTTCTAGTCAGTTCTAGTTCAGTTCTAGTTCAGTTCTAGTTCAGTTCTAGTTCAGTTCTAGTTCAGTTCTAGTTCAGTTCTAGTTCAGTTCTAGTTCAGTTCTAGTTCAGTTCTAGAAAAAATAGAAATAGAAGAAGAAATGGGTATGTGGAAAATGATTGTCGAAAATTACATTACTTAAATTAATTTAAATGCAATAACTATTAGCAAAAACTTGGTAATGACTATACACTTACCTATTAACATACTTTTTCAATATCAACAATATTATCGACCTGATTACATAGAAATAGCCTAATAACGTCATATTAATAATGTGTTATAGAATGAAAGTTTTTGCTGGGTAATTAAAATCTTTTTGTTTATTGTTATTAGTAGAAAATTTAATTTTTGATTTATTTTCTCTATTATTTAGATATTCTGAAACAATTGGAACAAAAAATAGATTTTATAAATGAAAGAGTTATCAAATTGGAAAAAGAAAACAGTGAGTAAAATTATCCGCTAGATTTGAAAAAAAAATATTTAAAACAAAAATTCATTTGTACAGAATTAATCGAATATAAACTTAAGGAATTAAAATGGTAAGCATTTAAATTCTTATGAAAACAGAAATCTTCAAACTTAAAGACTGAGAAATATACAATTCAATATTTTTTTTAGTTACAGTAATATTGCTACAAGGGGTTGTCATCATTTGAAAGGATGTGAAAGTGGCATATACAATATAATTAATCCACAAATCAGCAATAATTCATTTCAGGTTTCGTGCGATTTAGAAACTCTTGGGGGCGGTTGGACTATCATACAGCGACGTCAAGATGGTTCAGAAAATTTCTATAGAAATTGGTCTGAGTATACTATTGGCTTCGGCAATATCACTAATGAATTTTTTATGGGACTCAACAAACTGCATGCCCTCACCTCTCTGGCAGATCCACAAGAACTATACATAATATTAGAGGATTTTAAAGGGGACAAAAAATATGCCAGATATGGAATATTTAAAATTGATTCAGAGAGCACAGATTATACGTTAACAGTGGATGATTATTCCGGAAATGCCGGTGATAGTTTACAATTTCATAATGGTAGTAAATTTAGTACCAATGATCGGGACAATGACATATATTCCGGAAATTGTGCCGAATCGTTTAAGGGTAGTTGGTGGTATAAGAACTGCTACTATAGGTGAGTAAAGTAAAACAACAGCAATTTAAAAATGAACTCCATTTTGTTGTCGAATAATTGTTACACGATTTAATTATTTTAATATATTTCAGCAATTTGAATGGAAAATATTATAAAAACACAACATCACGTTTCGATGGCGTCAACTGGAGGACATTTAGAAATTTCGATTCGCTAAAATTTGTACAAATGATGATACGTCCAAAGGAAAATTAAAATATTTCTTTTACATTTATTATTACGCATAAAAAATTACAACATAATAAACGCCAATTAATAACCGCATTCGTCTATGCAATTAATATTTTAATTGAAAAATGTGATTGATTTTTTATTTGTTTTATTTGCAAAAATTTCTATCTATCTATCTATCTATCTATCTATCTATCTATCTATCTATCTATCTATCTATCTATCTATCTATCTATCTATCTATCTATCTATCTATCTATCTATCTATCTATCTATCTATCTATCTATCTATCTATCTATCTATCTATCTATCTATCTATCTATCTATCTATCTATCTATCTATCTATCTATCTATCTATTTATCTATCTATCTATCTATCTATCTATCTATCTATCTATCTATCTATCTATCTATCTATCTATCTATCTATCTATCTATCTATCTATCTATCTATCTATCTATCTATCTATCTATCTATCTATCTATCTATCTATCTATCTATCTATCTATCTATCTATCTATCTATCTATCTATCTATCTATCTATCTATCTATCTATCTATCTATCTATCTATCTATCTATCTATCTATCTATCTATCTATCTATCTATCTATCTATCTATCATCTATCTATCTATCTATCTATCTATCTATCTATCTATCTATCTATCTATCTATCTATCTATCTATCTATCTATCTATCTATCTATCTATCTATCTATCTATCTATCTATCTATCTATCTATCTATCTATCTATCTATCTATCTATCTATCTATCTATCTATCTATCTATCTATCTATCTATCTATCTATCTATCTATCTATCTATCTATCTATCTATCTATCTATCTATCTATCTATCTATCTATCTATCTATCTATCTATCTATCTATCTATCTATCTATCTATCTATCTATCTATCTATCTATCTATCTATCTATCTATCTATCTATCTATCTATCTATCTATCTATCTATCTATATCTATCTATCTATCTATCTATCTATCTATCTATCTATCTATCTATCTATCTATCTATCTATCTATCTATCTATCTATCTATCTATCTATCTATCTATCTATCTATCTATCTATCTATCTATCTATCTATCTATCTATCTATCTATCTATCTATCTATCTATCTATCTATCTATCTATCTATCTATCTATCTATCTATCTATCTATCTATCTATCTATCTATCTATCTATCTATCTATCTATCTATCTATCTATCTATCTATCTATCTATCTATCTATCTATCTATCTATCTATCTATCTATCTATCTATCTATCTATCTATCTATCTACATATCTATCTATCTATCTATCTATCTATCTATCTATCTATCTATCTATCTATCTATCTATCTATCTATCTATCTATCTATCTATCTATCTATCTATCTATCTATCTATCTATCTATCTATCTATCTATCTATCTATCTATCTATCTATCTATCTATCTATCTATCTATCTATCTATCTATCTATCTATCTATCTATCTATCTATCTATCTATCTATCTATCTATCTATCTATCTATCTATCTATCTATCTATCTATCTATCTATCTATCTATCTATCTATCTATCTATCTATCTATCTATCTATCTATCTATCTATCTATCTATCTAATCTAGCTATCTATCTATCTATCTATCTATCTTATCTATCTATCTATCTATCTATCTATCTCTCTATCTAGCTATCTATCTATCTATCTATCTAACTATCTATCTATCTATCTATCTATCTATCTATCTATCTAACTAACTAACTATCTATCTATCTATCCTTACCTTCTGTGGAAGTGATGTTTAATGACTTCTATTCTATTTTTTCAATGCTGAAATTATATTTTTCGTTCTTATATTTTTATGAGATAAAAAATGTTATTTTTGGACTTTTGTATTAAATGTGACAATTAACCTTATTAATGTTAATATTATTTAAGTCAAAATAGTTGTATTCCATAACACTACAATTTTACTTCCGAATAACTACCAAAAAAGAGCATACAAATTACTTCTTAAGGACGACTTCAGAAGTAGTGAATTTGGAATCAAATAAAAAGGACATCGCTCTTATGACAAGCCTGTATTAAGATCATAACTTCTTTTTCAGTTCTTTTTCAGTATTTTCATGGAGTAAATTCTACTTCTTTTTCGCTTCTTTGGAAATTCTTTTTTTTTATGGATACATTATAGACTAAACTATATAATTAAAAGTATAGACTATAGACTAGATTACAGACGAGACTATAGACTGAAATATTTATTAAAATATGGACTAGACTAAAAAAAATCAGAAAATAGACTTACCAATTTAAAACATATTTTTCTTCCCATTGTGCAAAGTAAAACAGCAATTCCGTAACACACACTTTTTTAGTACGTCCTTAAAATTCCCTTGCGATAACAATTTCATTTTTAAATTCATATCTTTAAAAAAACATATTTTCACTCTAGTCCCGTTTGTTTCTTTTTCACAGAATACACAATCGAACACAAACAAAAAACATCGAATGACCGCCATAACAAAAAAAAAAAACAAACAAAAATTTTTCATTATTCAAAAATCACAAAAAATATTTATAAATTTGCACTTATTCCAAAAGAAAACTATTAAACCGCTATTTGATTTCAAAGATTTTTAAAAAATATAATATTTAAACGATTTTTATTATTTTATTTTAATTAATTTACAAGAGCATTCACAAAAACAAACCATTTTCACAAAATTTACACGAGAAACTGACAAATAAGAGAAAATTGAGAATGACTTAACAAAAAAAGTTCGTTTAGTAAAGTGAATTAGTGTGTGTGTGTGTGCAATAGGATCAAAGAGAAGCTTTTTATGTTGCAACAACAAATTGTTGCTTCCGTTTAGTTGGGAACTTTTTTTATTGCAGTAGACAAGCAAGTGATTGATAAACAGTGATGCCAACTGTTAAATAAAATACAGGCGGAAATTGTTATTAAGCACAAGTTCGACAATAGAAATGGGCAATAAATCTATGTCAATGGTTTGTATTTATTTGGAAAATATCCGAGAACAAAATATGGTCAAAGAGTTGTATTTTCTGAATTTAATGGCTTCGAATACTCAGATGATGATAAGACCAAAATAAGACTAGGATTTATAGTAAAGATTAAATCATTAAGTTTTCTTTATTTCTTTAATATCAATAAATAAATGTATAAATTAAAATAAAGTATTTTGTATGCGATAACATTTTAATGGGAACGCGCTATATCTGAAAAGAAATTTAAAATGTCTTGTATATTAAATTCTAAACTAATCATAGAACCGGCATAACACTTTTGTATGCGCTCTTCCAGGAATTTATATTGTACAATGAATTCTTCCTGCATGGCATGCCATACCACTTGCAAAAGATTTTCCTCTTCGCACAAATGTTTCTCCACTTTGCGATAGAGATTTTCCAAACCCTTTTTCACCTCACGTGCCGGATATTGTATGATAACTTTACGCAGTTCTTGTTTGGAAAAAGCCATTTGATAGCTTATTTCCGTTTCCTTTACGCCCTGGGCAATTTTCTGTTGGACACCTTCAAAGAATAGCTAAAAGTATGATGGCAAAGCGTTAGGATACGATTTTTTCTTCTTACTTAACTTAAACTTACATTTAGTTTTTCCAATGGTCTGCCAAAATACTGTATAACATAATTCGTTAAGGCTTCGTTGTAACGCGACTTGGCCTCTTTCTTCAGCTCATCCAAACTGGGCACCTTTAAGCGTGCCAACAGTGAATACATGTGATGATAATTTTCCATGCGCACCACTTGTAGCGGTGTTTTAGGATGATCCTTGGCATGTGTATTGATGCCCTCGAATATGGCATTTATCAATTGTATATACTTTTCTCCATCGGTGCGACGTGTTGATTTCCTAAAGAAATCCTCGGTTGTTTGTGAGAAATATTCGAAATTTTCCACATAAGGTAAGATGCCGCATTTTGAACGTTTAGGCATTTTGGCATCACGTATCGATTGTAATTGCTGCTGCATAAAACGATCAAAGTTACGTTTAACATGTACCAGTACCGAGGCAAAGGTCATGCTTAAAAAGGAATGTGTATCTTGGGCGGACATGACATGTTGATTTAAACGCTCCAATACATAAAGAGAATAGCTGAAGAACAGTTAAATTAAATGCATAAATACATACGTATAATGTTAAAGTAATACTTACAAACAATCAAAACGTTCAAAACTTTGTATGAAATTAATAAGTTCCTGTTCCAGACAGCCAAACAAAGCGTTCATTAACTTGCGAACTTCTTCATTAATTTGACGATCAATTTTCTTTTGGGGAAATTGTGCTGTAAACAGAAATAACGAAATAATAAAAAAAAACTCCATCAAACTTTATAAAAAAAAAACGCCTACCATCTCCAGCACCACTGGTCGAAGAGGGTGATAGTAACATAGACTGTGACATATCAACACTTTTTTCCATCACATCTAAATTGGCGCTTTTTGCTGAGGGACTTAAAACATCCATTTGAAAGAAATTAATGCAGAATTTTTGTTCTTGCAAAGCAATAGGTTCCAATTCAGCTAAGACCTTTTCCAAAACCGCATCAAAACGTTCTCTATCAGCTGCATCTACACCAGGACCCCATTGTTCACGATTCACACCCAGTGTACCATGGGGTACAGAGGATACAGCAGCTTTCTTAGAAGTAGAAGATGTCGATAGATCTAAATCTTCACGTGAATTGCGTAATTTTTCCGAAATTTGTATTTTAGCCTTGAAGGATATAAATAATTAGAAAAAATCCATAAAAAACAAAAACAACTTTAAGCTCGCATACCAAAGTGAAAAAATTTCTTATATCACGCTCATATATTTTACTCAATGAGTTTGTATAGACCGTGGTTAGACCATCATATATTGTACGATCCATTGCCTTTATCCAATGCATCAATTCCGTATGGGGTGTTAAACGTTGATGCACCGACGAATGATTCGGCAATACCAGCTCTGTGCTCGATAAAGACATATCACCAATTTCATTGGACAAATGAATGAAAAGACAATTTAAATGTTTTTTCACAGGCGCCAAGAAATTCTTTTTCCAGTTTTCGAAACGTTTCATTTGATCACGTACCGCCACCAAGCGCTGAAGCGAAGGATCAATATCACTATTTAAGGCCTGCTGTAAACTTTGGGCAGCTATAATGGCAGCTTTACGACCTTCCGGTGTATTTAAATCGGGTGCTTGTAATATTTGTTGATAGGCAACTGGGAAATCCAACTGGGACTAATAAGAGATGTACAAGATTATTTGTAATATTTTCATATTTAAGGCCTTTTTACTTACTATAATTTGACTTAATTCCTCCTTAAGCTTAATATTATTGTTGTTGGCAATTTTAATCATGGCATTTTTGCCACCAATCTTTTCCATGGTCTCTTTAACGTGACCCAATATTTCCTCGTATGAATCTAAACGTTCTTCGAATTTATCAGCTTCACCAATAGCTTTATCAATGTGTTCCATTAGGAGCATAACTTGTTTTTCCGAAGCTAGTACAGATTGCATATTTGCCTAAATGAATGGAGTTAGAAAGAGTCTTTACTCCCTTAAACAAACACTACTTACACCATCTAAGTCATGTAATTCTTTTGATAACTTTTCAATTAGCAGTTCGGCATCCTTCACCGCATAATCACATTCATTAAAAAGTTTCGACAATTCCGAAGCCTCCTTATCGGTCAAAGCAGTAAATTCTGTAAATTCCATTTCTTCTTCGTCCTCAGTTTCGCCACCGTTTTTACGTAAACCCTCACCACGTCCACTGCCGTCTCGCACAGTCGATGAACTACGTATACTACCACGACCTCCACCATCCACACCCATTAATTTCTCTGGTGATTTTTCCATTAGCCAAGCCGTCGGAATATTTCGAAATTCTGCTTTAGCACCACGAGCATATTTATGGATTTGCTTATACAGAACAGCGATAAAGTTTTGCCGTTCATGCAAATTAAGAGCGTACCATTTGTATAGTTTCTCAACCTGTACATCGAATTCATGAATATCGAACTGTTCACTACGGCCGTCTAGCCATTTGATTTCGTCCAATTGCCAGACACGTTTCTTCTTGTAATCACCATCTTTCTGTTCGGCCTGTTTCACCAGGCACACTGTGACTTGTGGTACGGGTGGTGGTGTCGTGGCAACACATAGATAGCAGGCCCGTTTCTTTTTGAAGGTTTTCGTTACCGTCACCACGGATAGCAGTCGTTCGCCGCACCCATTAAATAATTCCTTTTGTAGTACATGTTTAATGTTGGCCAAAGAGCCAATAGATAACATTTTATTTTGTGATTGTAGGTTTTATTAATATTTTTCCTTTTTATTAATTAATATCAATGATAACATTGATAAAAAACAGCAATTGTATTTACGCCTCCAAGAAAAAATTCTATGATAAATTATTGAAAAAAAAAAAATTAGTTTTGTTGTCAAAATGTCAACTGTAACAGCTGACTGTAAAAAGTTGTCATATTTGTTGTTTGCAAATAAATCAGGGATTGAAAAAAATAATTCTTATTGTGAATATATGATTTAATATACATATGAAATAAATTTCTTTGCTCTTTCTTAAAATTTTAAATATAGAATTATAAAATAATTTAACTTTTAATATTTGCTCTTTATTTTGTTTATTTTAAAAATTCTTGAAAATGAATTTGGTTTAAATCACACCTCAAACTTTTAGATATGATAACTAGCAGAAATACTATTCACAATAGTATAATATCGAACTTAAATGCACTGTTTCGTATGAAAAAGTGGTAGGAAAAAATGCTATTACTGCTCACAGAGAAAATGCTGTGCACAGAAATACCGGTTAGGTGCTACACGTACTAAAGACGCTCTAGAGTAGTGCAGCTTATAGCTGCCCATAAGCACAGGGTATACAGAGGCGTCACGAGCAAAAAACTATTTCCCTCTCTTTCGCACAAAACGAATTCAATAATTTTTTTAGCTGTATTTTATATACCTCTTCTCACCAAACAATTTCAAAATCAAACAAAAGCTGATTTTAGACTTTTTTAAATGTCAAAAGTGACAACTCTGTATACTTTGTGCCATAAGAAATACTCGTGTTTGTGTGTCGTGCGCCGCCAAGTCTGGTGTGTCGCAGTAAAAGCAATTTAAATGAGGTGATAGCTAGTGACCAATTGTGAATATATGTCAAAAATTTTTCATATGTGTTTTGACATTATGGAAACTAAAAGACATATCTATGCGAAAACTGGCAATGAAGGAAGACGATTACTTTGCAAATATAAATTACAGCAAAAACGTCGAATATATAGCGTTTTATACATATCATGGATCAACTAACAAGGTGAAGTCATTTCAACAGCTGATTTTTTTCTGTGTATTTTTTTTATATTCGTGTGTTGGTGTCCAAGTAGGGTTCTCTACCGTATTGTGAATATTTTTTCCCGTTGAACTATGTCACAAAAACTGCTAGAAACCGCCAAATATAGGTATGTTATGAACCAAACAAATTCAAAACTTCTAGGGTTCTATAAATCGACTTTCGAATAATCGAACAATCGACTTTTTGTCGAAAAAAGTCGAAAAGTCGAAGTCGACTATTTTGTTCCAAAAAAGTCGATAACTCGACTATCGTCTATGAAAAAAGTCGAAAAGTCGACTTTGTAAATAAAAGTCGAAAAAAGTCGAAAAGTCAAAATATCGGAAAGTCGAAAAAAGCTGAAAAGTCGAAAAAAGTCGATAAGTCGAAAAAAGTCGAAGAAAGTCGAAAAAAGTCGAAAAGTCGGAAAAAGTCGAAAAGTCGGAAAAAGTCGAAAAAAGTCGAAAAGAGTCGAAAAAAGTCGAAAAGTCGGAAAAAGTCGAAAAAAGTCGAAAAGTCGGAAAAAGTCGAAAAATCGAAAATTGTAGAAACAAGTCAAAAATTTTAAAAAAGTGGAAAAAAATAGTCGGAAAAACTCGAAAAAAGTAAAAAATAGTCGGAAAAAAGTAGAAAGAAGTCGAAAATAGTCAAAAAGTCGAAAAAATCGAAAAAAGTCGGAAAAAGTCGTAAAAAGTCGAAAAAAGTCGAAAAGTCGAAAAAGTCGAAAAGTCGAAAAAAGTCGAAAAGTCGAAAAAAGTCGAAAAGTCGAAAAGTCGAAAAAAGCCGAAAAGTCGGAAAAAATCGAAAAAAGTCGAAAAGAGTCGAAAATTTTAGAAAAGTGGAAAAGAGGTCAAAAACTCTAAAATAGTCGGAAAACTCGAAAAAAGTAAAAAAAATAGTCGAAAATAGTCGAAAAATAGTCGAAAATAATCAAAAAGTCGTAAAAAATCAAAAAGTCGAAAAGTCGGAAAAAGTCGAAAAAAGTCGAAAAGTCGAAAAAAGTCGAAAAGTCGGAAAAGTCGAAAAAAGCCGAAAAGTCGGAAAAAGTCGAAAAGTCGACCATTTATAAAATTCTAAAAGTCGAAAAGTCTAAAAGTCGACTTTTAAATAAATGAAAAAGGTCGAAAAGTCGAAAAATCGACTCTTCATAAAATGGAAAAAGTCGAAAGGTCGAAAAGTCGACTTTTAACTAAATGCAAAAAGTCGAAAAGTCGACTTTTCGTTTCAACTATAGAACCCTAAAAACTTCCATAACTTTTAGAAAAAATTAAGAATGTTGAGTCTCGACTATTGAGACTAGACTTTCTATTAGACTATAGACTAGAATTTATATTATATTATAGACTAGACTATAAACTGGTCTTAAGACTAGAATTTAGACTAGGCTATAGATCAGATTGTATACTAGACTATAACTATAGACTACATACTAGACCATATATTAGACAATACTATAGATTAGACTGTAGACTTGACTATAGTCTAGATTATAGACTGGATTAGACTATACACAAGAATCGACTATAGATAAGTGTTCTGTAAATAATTTAAAATATTAGATTTTAAAACTGAGATCTTTACGTGGATAGATAGAAATAAAGGCCAAAATTAAGGTCGGTAAACCGGAAAGGGTATAGCTATTTCTAAATAGAAATTCATATGTACGTTTATTTTTTTAAGTAAATATTTATTTTTATTTCTTTCATATATACATATACAAACTACCTTTACTTCAATATTAATCATTTAATTTCATCCATATTAATTAAATTAGATTACACAGGAATAAAAATGTTTATGAACAAAATAAGAGAGTCAAAAAAAAAAAAGAAGAATATATTGAATTACTATCAAACTATATACTATATATGTATACTATGTATGTATTTTGTAATAAAATTGTTATTTTGTTTTTGTTAATTATTAATTTAATTAATAATACATTATGAAAATTATACAAATTTAAAATTTTTCTAAATTATATAAGGTAAAAAAAAAAAAAAATTATAAAAATTTACAAATTTATAATTCGTTTAAAAAATTTTCAAAAAAATGTATGCTAAAAAGTTGTTATTTTTCCACGTAACTTTACAATACTATACAGTGAAAAATTGCAAAGAAATAAAACACAAGAGAAGAAAGAATAAAATGGTTTATGAATTATCTAAAATAGGACCGTATTGTTCATTAGTTTCCAAATATACTAAATCAGGATTTTCACCCAATTCAAGACGGCCATAACGTGCTAGTAGGGGTTTATTATTTACCGGCCTGGGCCATTTACGTTTCGGTTTTGAATGAGTCAACATGTGACTCTTGAGATTTGTGGACTGGGCGAAACATTTGTGGCAACCTTCGACTGGACAATGATAGGGTCGATCACCAGTATGTATACGAACGTGTGTACGCAAGTTAAAGTCGAGGGAGAAACGTTTGCCACAACCTTCAAATGTACACTCAAAGGGTTTTTCGCCCGTATGCACCAATTGATGACGTTTTAGTTTTGAACTTTCTACAAAAGATTTGCCACACTCAGCACAAACATGACCGCGCGGCCCATGGGTTGCGGAGTGTTTACGCATGGCTGAGTGATTGCGAAACTCTTTATTACAGTTTCGAAATGTGCAGCGAAACACTGTCACTGTCCCCGAGGCGGTGGCAGATGTTGTGTAAGCAGGTGTATTAGCAGTTGCTGGTGGTGGTGATGTGGTAGTAGATGTAGTAGTAGCACTTGTGGTTTTCTTTGAAGGCGTGCTTATTGCTTTTTTAGCCGGCGGACTTTTCAGTTTGACTGTTGCCTCTACTTCAGCAGACGTTTGCGGACATGATAATAGATTATTGCTATCGTTGAAGACGGTTGGTGCAGTTGGAAAAGTTTCTGTTAATTCAGTTTCGTTTATCTGATGATCTTGATTTTGTATCAAAGTAAAATCATTTGATTTAGTGCTTAATAGGGTTTCTTCAGTTTTTATATCTTCGATAATACTCTCATTTGCTGTTTCTACTTCTTCTTCGACTATGTCACCGGTAAAAGGATCAGGAACTATGACATATTCCGCCGGCGAGAGGCCTTCATGTACATGAACTTTGCTACTAGTTTCGTTCATTAAAATATTATGGACCTGTTGTTCCGCTTCTTCTAGCGTGCTGGATTTCAATAACATATCATTCGTTTCCAAGTTAAATGTCTCCTTTTTCATGTTAACATGATTAAGCTCGCTTTCGATATTATTCTCTTCGGGCGCTTCTTCTACGTCTTCCTCTTCTCCATCTTCATCTTCTGAATTGAGTGCTGACCATAGGGTGACATTGAATTCATCTTGTGTTATGCGTATGGGCACTTTTGTTTGCTTCCAACGTTTGGTAGTCTGTGACTTTTTTAATTTTTCATTTAATCGCTGTTTCTCTCTTCTTTCCTTATTGTTTTTACACATATAATTTGGGTCGTCCGTCTTCTCTTGCTTAATCACCATTGGATTGTGGCTGTTGTCCACCAAATGTTCCATTTTAATGTGACTTGTTGCCATCAGGTGTTGGGATGTAATATCAAATTGATTGCTGTCCAAATTTAATTGTGCCGTTACGTATTCATCAAACACTTCATTGGCATCCGTAGAGTCTGGTAAGATTTCTTCGCCGCCTCCTCCTCCCTGCACAACACATTCGGCCGTATAGGCTGCCAGCGAATCTGTAGACGATGAATTCGAGGGCTGCATTATTATTTGCGGCGGCATCGATTCAGGAACTGCATAATATTGTATACTGTCGCCGGATATAAAGAATTCGCCCGTGTCTATAACTATATTACCCTCTTCATCACGTTCATCGATGATTTCTTCTATGAGAAAACTTTCGCCCACTGCACCACAGCTGCTGCCAATTTGCTCTTCTAGATCCGTGGAATAGGGCTGTTCGATTATCGTAGTGTTGCTCGGTAAGATGTGCGTGAAATACAAGGGTGAAGTTGTAGCACTATGAGAGACAGGCACTGCGGCCGATGCCAATGACAAATTATTCACAATGGGTGCTGAGCTGCCAGAGCCCAAGGCGAAATTGTGGCCATTCATCATTGTATTTCTAAAATGAATAAAATTTATTGATATACGATTCTTCCAACACACTCTTATTTTGTATTCCTATTTACAATTTCGTTTGTTTTTATTTTTTCACTACTTTTGTCGTTTGCAGACGCGTTGCTAGAACCACTCGTCTGTCTCTATATACTTTTTGAGGCTGCGACACAGGCGACCTTTCACTTAATATCTGGGTTTTATTTTATAATTTCAAAATTTATACAACTTTTGGGTTTGTTTACATTTTATAAAAATGTAAATATTTTGAAAAAAGCCGGTAAAATATGGCGGAATTGTATTTTCCAAAATGGCTCTTCGATATATTTTTTTATTTTTTCCTGTATATTATCTCCTCTTCTTCATCACACTAAATGCCAAAATGCTAATTGGTGGGGTTTTTTTTTATTGAATAATCCATTGTGAATATGATGTTTACGCAGTTAACAACAGCTGGTTGGCTTAAATGTCATTCACAATAAACAAAACTTGAACAAAGAAGTAGTCAACGGCGAATTCATACAAGGTGTAGTTATTTCAACGGCTGATATTTTTCTCTACTGGCTAAAAATGTCAAATGCTTGTCTTTGTTGTGTAGAAAATTACCACCAAGATAGAAACAACAAAAACAACAGGCAAGTTATGACAGTTCAATTGACTGTAAGAAGTACAAATACCTTGTTGTTTTCTCTTTTTAATAAATTCAAGTTGATTATTAGTTGGCGTACTTATTTAAAAAAAATATTTTGGGTGGTTGAATTGTGATCACTGTGTGCTTTACTTAAATTTAATTCCTAAAATTAAAGTTAACAAAAAAAGCAATGTCGGTAATAAAAAGGGAATGGACTTACTGGCAAGATTCAGAGTAAGTAAATACGTATTTAATATTAATTTTCTTTGCTAAACTAGAATTTATGGTTTCTTTGCCATGGCTTAGACCTTAAAGATCTTTTGCATTTTAATGCAAACAAATGAATATAATAGTAAATTTGAAATGCCCTTTTCATACTTTTATTGCGATATAATTCAAATATTATTTAATGGAAAGCATGTTTTATTCCTAAATATATGTTTATTCATGCAAATTGTGTATAACTTTCAATCGCGTTTACTTCATTGGCCATTCCTTTTCTTTTTAATTGGGGATTCCACAATTTTTAACATTGTTAGGATAGAGTTGCCAAGTACTTTTCATTACTAGTCAATACCACGGTTATATCGACTTTTTGCAATATATGACAGGTCGATCTTACGACTTTTTTAATTTACGAAAAGTCGACTTTTCGATTTTTTGCAATTTTGAAACTAACTTTTGTTTTAGTTGGAAACAGATATTTTATTACGTATTTTTCTATACAAAATGGGGCCAGCCTAATGTACATAATAAAAAAATCTGTCTAAAATCTACGACTTAACCGTTTTGTCCATATCCGAGCAAAATTACGTATGTACATCAATACCCAACATACCCGGGTATGTCATACAATTTATATGGCTATTTCATCTTTTTTTCATCATAAACCATTAAATTTTAGCAATTTTTTTAAAGTTTTCTTATTGCTTTCCTATTAACAAAAATATCTTATGCAAAAAACAAAGAAAATTATTATAATCAGCAAAATTTTACTTTACTAAGTCATCTACATATATATATAAAAATGAAAGTGTGTTTGTATGTATGTATGTATGTATGTTTGTTTGTTTGTGCTTTATAGACTGCTAAATGGCTGGACCGATTTTCCTGAAATTTTCACAGTTTCTTCCTGTATGTCTGGAAGGAACTATAGGCTACTTTTTATGTTGAAATTTCATGTGGGCGACGTGCCACGCCCATATTAAGAAAATATTAAATTAGTATATCTGAGATAATATAATAGTTAGAATCTTCAAATTTTGTCGGAGCAACTTTAGTATCAATATAATTATATAAGACAAAAAGTGGGCGGATTAGCTTTAGGGGGCGTGGCACCTCCCATATAAATTAAATACAAAAATTCGTTTATCTTGGAAACTATTATAGTTAGAATATTAAAAATTTGCACGAGTAACTTTAACATCCATGTAAACATTTTGGGAAATAAATTGGCGGACTACCCATGAGCAGCACCTCCCATATTAATAAAATACAAAAATAGGTTTATCTGGGAAACTAATAGAACTAAATTCTTCAAATTTTGCACTAAGAACTTAAATATTCATCTGAACATTTTGGAGAAAAAAGAGCGGACTTTCGTCATGGGGGGCTTGGAGCCCCCATATAAATTGAATAGGAAAAAATTATATCTGAGAAACTATTAGAGCTAGAATCTTCAAATTTTAATTAAAGAACTTTGACATTCATGAGAACATTCAGAGAATAACGGGCGGAAGGGGGGCTTGACACCTCACATATGAATTAAATACAAAATTTCGCTTGTCTGGGAAACTAATAGAACAAGATTCTTCAAATATTGCAAGAAGAACTTTATTATACATATGAACATTTTGGAGAAAAAAAGGGCGGACTTTCATCTGGGGGCTGTGAATTCCCATATGAATTAAATAGAAAAATTCATATATCTGAGAAACTATTAGAAACTATTCTAAATGAAGATCTTTGACATTAATGCGAACATTTAGAGAATAACGGGCGGACTTTCAATGGGGTCTTGGAACCCCCTATATGAATTAAATACAAAATTTCGTATATCTGGGAAAATATTAGATTTTTTTCATTTGTCATCGATTACATTAAAATCTTAATTAACGTTCCGAAAAAATGCATCTCTGGAAAACATTACAGTTAGAATCTTCAAAATTATTAAGAAGATTTTTTATTTATATTGCTTTTAGGGTAGCAAAGCACACTGGGTATAGCTAGTATACAATAAAAAAAATATTTCATCAAAATCGGCGCATATTTGTTAATGTTACAGGGTCCACAAATATTTCATATTCAAATTTATGAATAAAGACACATGACTCTGATGACCGGGGTATGTTGTGTATTGATACACGAGGTAAAAATAGAAAATCGGTTTAAAATATATATGAATATCTAACTTATTTTTGGAAAATGTATAGAAAACTTTACTCTGAAAGCATTTCAAGCCGTTACGATATATAGATCTCGAGATATGTATATTACTTCAAAAATGAAAAACATATCCTCGTATGTGGGTATTGACATAACGGTTAAAAAAATCAAATACGGATGGAAACTCCATCACCATGACCCTTTCCATAATATACCACAAAATTTGAAATTAAGTACTTTTCTTTTAAGACGATCGGATAAATTTGTAAAACTCTTGGATTCAGGATTATTGTCCGACTGCAAGTTTATTGTTGGACCCGATGACGCAACGGCTGAAACAATAAACGGTCATAAAATAATGTTCGTTATAGAATCACCAGTATTGGAACGAATGCTAACTGGAGACTTTATCGAAGCAGAAAAAGATAAAGGAATACGCATAAATGATGTTGATCCGCATGATTTCAAAAATTTTTGCCATATGATTTATGATAATAATTCATCAAATCTTAAAAAGTTTACTTTAGAAGAAATAATGGAATTGTATCGTATATGTGACAAATATATGGTTCAATCGATTTGTGAAACTTGCATAAGTTTTTTTAAAGATACAATAAAAGGTCTTCACTTAGATCGATTAATAATAATGTTTGAATTTGCCACTAGCCTGGAAGATAAAAGTTTACAAACTGCTGTAGAGAAGGTAATTTATTTGCAGTACTTTGTAGATATATTATTTATGTAAATAATAAAAAAATTTAAATATTCTATTACTATTTAAGGAAATTTCTACTCATAAGGAAACGTTAATGGTTGACAAGCTCAATGAATTGCCCTTGAAAGTATTTTATGATTATGTTCTTTTTGTCAGCAAGTTATCGGTACCACCATCACCTTTAATGATCTTCAAGGCAATTGATTTATATTTTAAACGTAACCATTTAATAAGAAAAGAAGTTAAAACGACTATAACAGAGACAATTTCAGAAAAGAAAATCCAAGAAATCATAACGGAAAATATGACAGACAAGGAAGGCAAAGGACCTTTAATGAAAAAGGTTGAAACGGCGGACGCAAAAGAAAAAGAAGCTATAATGGAATATATGGCAGACGGAGCTAACACTGAAAATAAGGAAATAAATAATATACAGTCGTTTAAAAGTATGGTTTTCGCGTTAGTAAAATTTGAAGAAATGACACCCTATGAGTTTATAACTGGACCAGGAGAATCAGATCTACTTGGTTTTCAATATAAATACCAAATGCTTTCGTATTTGTGTACTACGAAATTTGCTTTTACCAGAAAAAATTACTAATTAAGGAAATGTTTGTAAAAGTTAAAAATTTTAATTCCTTTTTTTGTTCATTTTTATAGAAAATGTAAAATTTATGAAAAAATAATTTTTTGGAAAAAAATTTGAATTTAAAAAAATTTTTAAAAATTTAAATACATACATATTTAAAAAAAAATATTATTTTTGGGAATTAAATAATTTCTTCTTAATTTTTTTATAAAAATCTTAATTTTTTTAATTCTTAACATAATTTTTTGTAAAAGAATTATCAAACATTTGAATTTTCTATTTTTTTTTAAGAATCTGAATTTTAATAAATATTAAATTTTAATTCAAAATAAAATATAATTTTTCTGAGCATTTTTAAGTTTTACCAAAACCATTTCAGATAAAGATAACTTGATATCTAAAAATGCATAACTACATTTAACACAATCTATTTTATAATAACTTATTTTTACATCTTTTTCATTAACAAAACTTCAGGTAAATAAATATTTTTCAATTTTTCATCAACAAAATATTCATGCTTGCACTTCAGTATTGTTATCTTGGAATTAAAATCATTTTTTTGAAAATTTAAATGTAATTTATCATCGAGAATCTTAATATTGTAGTATTTACAATCTTCACGGAGTTCATTTACATTGGCATGAGCAGTAAGACGTAGCACAAAATCGACCGGTACGGAAAGTTGTTTACTGCTGTAAGCATTTGCAAATATTTCATAGAGATTTCTAAAACAGAAAGAGATTATATAAAGTAATAGTATTACATTCTATAATATTGTATAGTACCTTCTAAGAGTTGGTAATTTTAAACATCCAATTGCACATAAAATATGAGGAAGAGTTTGAAGACCAGTTAAAACGCGATAGTAGTTACCTTGTAAATAACTAAGAGATATTTTAAAGACTAGGGAAAAAAGTGAGTGGGTTCTGTAAAAAGACAAATTAATTTAATGTTTTCATATGTTTTCAATAATAAAGCCCTTAATGCACACACCTTATTTCCTTGGGCAAGGTAAGACATCGCTTTAAGGCATCCACAGAGCCTAAATTGAAAATTTGATATAATGCCTCCAGAAAAGCACGATTATAAATATCAATTAATTTTAAATCATCCAGTGATATTTCATCGTAACAAACTAAAGCCCTTTTTAGACACTCTTGTAAATGTTGTTCACATATTTTAGGATCGAAATTATCAACAGCTTCCTCACATAACTTGTAACGACTATAGCTTAAGAACATAATCATGGGCTGTAATAATTTGATAGTTTGCTTTGCATTATAATTTTGCATAACCATCTCTTGTCGTATGGCACGCAAACGATCGAATATGAAATCGTAAACGAGATTAAAAGGTTTCCGTTTATCTAGTATAATGCTGTAATAAAAAATTTAGAATTAGATTATAAATGTTTTAAAAAAAAGTAACTGGCCTTATTTCTAGACGGAAATTCGGTTTGTTAAAAAGGCCCTATTTCTAGACTGATAAACGGGCAATAGCTAACCCTATTTCTAGGCGGAAATAAGGCCAGTAACTGTTACCTATTTCTAGTGGAAAATATGGTAAATAACTTTCCTTATTTCTAGACAAAAATACATCTAGTAAGTGGCTTTATATTCTCATTTATTTTGCTAAATTACTCAATTCATACTTACTCCTTTAACAAATACTCTATGCAACGTTGTAGACATCTTTCCGTTCTCATATCCTTGGCTTTGGGTGTTTTTATACCAGCTGCCGAACGGGCAAAACACTTGACCAATGTACCAGGTACATGTTTCTGACCATCTTTATACTCAAAGAAATTTAAGAGTTTTTCGCGCGTTCTTCTACAATGAAATTATTTTGAACACATATACACAGTACATATTATAGTTTAACTTACAATTTATATTCTGCCTCTGGACAAAAATCTTCACAAACACCTTGCACAAAATTCGGCATCGTTATGTGTGGGAAGTGCAAAAAATAAAATAAAAATAAATTTATAAATTAATCACAATAGCAAATAAATAAAGAAAATTTAGTAAATCACAGTAGAAACCAAAACAAAGGATAAAGAAAGTTGCCATATTAATATTGTTTGGCTAAATAACACTTCAATGTATTTTATATTACACATTTAGAAGTTAAATTAACAAAATATGTTTATTTTGTACTTAAAAAAATTAGGGAAAATTAAAAAAAAAAACATTAAAATTCTACTATGGCCATTATAATTAGATAATTTTATAAGTTTAAGTACTAGAACTGGCAACCTTTGTCTGTATGGCATTTAGCAAGGCGAAATAATTAGAAATTTAAATTCGCCTTGACATTTATTGTTTGTTTACAAAAAGTCAGCAGCTGTTTTGTTATTCTCATAATAATTATATCTTGTTTACAATAATTTATAGTTAAGTAGTTTTTGTTTAAAATATACAATATTTTTTAATTAAAAAATATACAAAAAATATAAATATCTATATATTTTATATTATTGATGTGATAAAATAACAAGGCAATCAACAAAAGGTAAAATAAATTAAATAATTTCCACACTATACTACTCGTCTTAAGAGAAAAACTTATATAATAGAATTTTTTTTAAAGGATGCTGCTGAAAAACTTTCTTATAAATGGACTTAAGAATCCCTCACTATTGTTACCGCCGAAGTCTAATGTATTGCCCAGATTATTTTTGCCGACAACACGTTGTCTCAGCACTGAATTAGCAGCTGCATTAAGGCCCTTCTATTTCGCTGTACACCCCGATCTCTTCGGACAATATCCTGAGCAGCGTTCCGTCAATGAAGATTCCTTAAAGCAGCTTAGTTCGCACATGCAAATGTTATATGAGCGTAAATATCATGCTTTACGCGAAAAGAAAATATTAAAATTTTACATACGCGAAGAAAATGTAGAAGAACGCAACAAATTTAAGTTAATCAAAATAACACTGGACAGTCGTTCACAAGATCCAAAAAAAATTATTCAGGAATTGTTGGAATTGTGTAATTTATCGACGGATTACATAAAGACTGTGAAAAGCGCGCCAGTGAAACCTAATCAAGGAGCTTCTTATGGCGGTGGCAGTGGTACAATGGGTTTTAGGACCAGCTCAAGATTATATCTAGGGTTCAGAATTTGCAGGATTCGAAAGTGCATATTATAAGGTATCTTAGCTTTCACCATTCTAAGGCTATTTAACTAGAACTGAACTAGAACTGGACTAGAACTGTACTAGAACTGAACTAGAACTGAACTGGAACTGAACTGAACTGAACTAGAACTGAACTAGAATTGAACTAGAACTGAACTAAAACTGAACTGAAACTGAACTAGAACTGAACTAGCACTGAACTGAACTAGAACTGAACTAGAATGACCTGAACTAGAACTGACTAGAACTGAACTAGAACTGAACTAGAACTGAACTAGCAATGAACTAGAACTGAACTGAACTAGAACTGGAACTAGAACTGAACTAGAAACTGAACTCGAACTGACTAGAACTGAACTAGAACTGAACTAGAACTGAAACTAGAACTGAACTAGAACTGACCTAGAACTGAACTAGAACTGAACTAGACTGAACTAGAACTGAACTAGAACTGAACTAGAACTGAACTAGAACTGACTAAGAACTGACTAAGAACTGAACTAGAACTGAACTAGAACTGAACTAGAACTGAACTAGAACTGAACTAGAACTGAACTAGAACTGAACTAGAACTGAACTAGAACTGAACTAGAACTGAACTAGAACTGAACTAGAATCTGAACTAGAACTGACAAGAACTGAACTAGAACTGAACTAGAACTGAACTAGAACTGAAACTAGAACTGAACTAGAACTAACTAGAACTGAACTAGAACTGAACTAGAACTGAACTAGAACTGAACTAGAACTGAACTAGAACTGAACTAGAACTGACTAGAACTGAACTAGAACTGAACTAGAACTGAACTAGAACTGAACTAGAACTGAACTAGAACTGAACTAGAACTGAACTAGAACTGAACTAGAACTGAACTAGAACTGAAACTAGAACTGAACTAGAACTGAAACTAGAACTAGAACTGAACTAGAACTGAACTAGAACTGAACTAGAACTGAACTAGAACTGAACTAGAACTGAACTAGAACTGAACTAGAACTGAACTAGAACTGAACTAGAACTGAACTAGAACTGAACTAGAACTGAACTAGAACTGAACTAGAACTGAACTAGAACTGAACTAGAACTGAACTAGAACTGAACTAGAACTGAACTAGAACTGAACTAGAACTGAACTAGAACTGAACTAGAACTGAACTAGAACTGAACTAGAACTGAACTAGAACTGAACTAGAACTGAACTAGAACTGAACTAGAACTGAACTAGAACTGAACTAGAACTGAACTAGAACTGAACTAGAACTGAACTAGAACTGAACTAGAACTGAACTAGAACTGAACTAGAACTGAACTAGAACTGAACTAGAACTGAACTAGAACTGAACTAGAACTGAACTAGAACTGAACTAGAACTGAACTAGAACTGAACTAGAACTGAACTAGAACTGAACTAGAATTGAACTAGAACTGACTACAACTGAACTACAACTGAACTAGAACTGAAATAGAACTAGAACTGGACTGATCTAGAACTGAACTAGAACTAACATAGTGCTGAATTAAAACTACTAGGATTAATTCCAGAAATAATTAGAAGATTATCAAAGTATTCATCTGTGATTTTTTCCCCTTAAGGCAAAGGAGGAAATAAAGAAACCACTTGATACCTGGATTACCGATAACGCCACATTGGCTAAAACGCGTTCCAAAGATCTTGAGTCACTCAAAGCGGATGTATATAAACTTCAAAAAACTGTTATTCAGAATTTAGACTTAAAAGATGCACGCTACGATTGTGGTTGGAATTTTGAACATTATCGTGGTTGCCTCAAAACTCTCGAACGTCTCGCCTCAATGCATGGCGAACACATGAAACATTTAAAAGGTCGCGTTGTGGTCTTTGCACCCTTTACAGGCATTAGCTTAGAGGGACATGTTATGCTCTTCACCGGTGATGTTCTAAACAATTGGATTGAATTCATACGAAACATTCCTAGCCACGATGCTTTCCTCAAGAAAATACCCATCTATGAAA